ACCAGAGTTTCCCAAGATTTGAGTGCATGCTTTGCGTCATCTGCATGTGAGAGCTGGACAATGAATAAGGAAGAATGAAGAAGAGTCGATGCTTTTGAGTTGTGGTGTTGGCAAAGAATACTGAAAGTACCCATGAACTGCTAAAAGAACTAACAAATCTATTTGGAAGAAAGGCGGCCAGAATGCTCCTTGAAAGCACGAATGGCCAGACTTCATCTCACCTATTTTGGCCATGTAAGAAGGGACCAATCCCTGGAGAAGGATATCATGCTTGGTAAAGTGGAAGGTCAATGAAAAAGGGGTGGCCCTCAACAAGATGGATTGACACAGTGGCTACAACGACAGGCTCAGATACAGCCAGGATCATGGAGCTGGCACAGGACTGGGCAGTGTTTCCTTCTGCTATACATAGGGTCTCTACAAGTTGGAGATGACTCAAGGGCACATAACAACACCACCAACAAGCTCTACTTCAGTATGGAGCTCTGGTGACGTAGTGGTAAGGCATTTGGCTGCTAACCAGAAGGTAGGTGGTTCAAACCCAGCAGCTGCTCCACAAGAGGAAGATGAGGCAATCTATTTCTGTAAAGATTTACAGCCTTAGAAACCAAGTGGGAGTTGCTATGAATTGGAATTGATTCAATAGCAATGGGTTTTGGGTTTTTTGGGGGGTGGGTAGGCTCTGCCTCAATAGTGGGTTGGCAGTAAAAATTGTTGGTCAATTTACTGAAGAAGTATATTTTTAAATACTGAAGGATTTTAACCTCGAATATAACTAGCTTTTTGTAGTATCAGTAATTGTCAAACTTTTTTTTTCCAGTTTTACTTATAATGTTGCTGCAAATAGTGATGCTCATGGATTAATAAGTGAGGGAAACCAATTACTAATTCATTCATTTAATATTTGAAATCTCCGTGAAAGAAGATTAATGGGCAGGGGGGATATTAAGATTTGAATAAGTGTGGTAGTGTTGTTGTTGTTAGGTGCTATTTAGTCAGTTTCAACTCACAGCGACCCCATGGAACAGAAAAGAACTTAGAACTTCCCTGTCAAGTCAATTTTGACTCAAAAGTGACCCCCTGTGACAGAGTGGAACTGCCCCATAGGGTTTTCTAGGCTGTCATCTTTACAGGAACAGTTCACTAGGTCTTTTCTCCTGTGGAGCTGCTGCATGGATTTGAACTGCCAGCCTTTTGGTTAGCAGGTGAACACTTAAACATTGTACCACTAGGACTCCTTGAGTAAATGTGTACAGGCTGAAAAATGATTCCTTTTAGTATTTGGACTCCTCATAAGCCAGAAAGCCTAGAATTAAGTAATAAGTTTGAGGAAGTGAACTTTCTTTTTCCTACCAGAAAAGCTGTAGAAGTAAGCTTAAACATACACTTTAGACAGCAATATCATTTGTATTATCACTCTTCCCATTAATTAGGAAGCCTTCTAGTTAGCAGTCAAGTGCCTTAGGCACTGCGTTAACAGAGCTGGATATTATGCTCTTACTGACAGTATTGTACTTCAGGACAGATCTTGAAACACTCTTTGTAACTGTGAGTGCCACACCATTCCTCTTTAGTTTGTTCAAGCAGGAGAAAGAATTTTTTTGTATGCAAAGAATAGAGTACAATACTAATACACCTACTCCTCACTTACTATTTCATTATCCAACATTCACATTTATGACAATAGTAAAAAAAAAAAAAAAACTATCTTACCCTTTAATGACTTATATCTGGCAGTAACAAATGGTGAGATGCAAAGGGAGATTAATGCTGGCTGTGATGTTTAAGGTTATGTGTCAGCTTGGCTGGACCGTGATTCTCAGTGGTTTGGTAGTGATGTAGTGATGTAATTAGGCAGTGATATAATGATGTAGTCATCCTCCATTTTGTGATCTAATCCAAGCAACCAGTCAATTAATTGAAAGGGGAATTTCTTTGAGAGTGTGGCTTGCATCCAGTGTAAGTGAATGTTTCAGTAAGTCTCACTCTCACTCTTGATCCTGCATCAGGTGCTTCATCATCTGACCTCTGGTTCTTGGGACGTGAGCCAGCAGCTAGCTGACTGACCTGCAGATTTTGGGTTCATCAGCCCCTGCAACCACATGAGTTAGAAGAAGCCAGCAGTCTAACATCTGATAAGGATTTTGGCCTGCCAGCCTCCACAGCTGCATCAGTTTTTCCTTGAATTAAATCTTCTCTAGAGAATCTATTCTACGACACTGGGGTAGCAGTACAATAACTTCAGCTGAATAAGCTGCAGCAACACAGCTCACTGAGACTTAGTTTCTCCCCTCCCCACCCCATATGTTATTAGCCATTACAGTAAGAGGTTCTCAGCCCATCTTTATTTTAGATCATGTATGTAGATTTTTACCCTGTAGCAAGATGTCTTCAAAGAGAAAGAATAGTACTAGTTCGACTGACAGTAGCAGCAAAAGGCATAGGAATGCCATCAATCTTAATATAAAAATGAACATCATAACAGCATATGGATCAGAGAAGAGAGTGAACATTACAGCATGTGAGCAAGGTATGTATCATTCTGAAGGACAGGGAAAGAATCATCAAGGTGATGAAAGAATCGGCACCAACAAATGCTTTGATAAGACAACAGAAAGGCCTAATCCATGACACTGAGAAGCTTCTACTTTGGACTGAAGATGAGATACAAAAGAGGATACTGATTGGCCTTCGTACAATTGAAGCTAAAGCACACAGCATTTTTGATACTCTTAAGGAATATGTAGGTGAGGAGTGCAGTGAAATACTCACTGGTTTTTGAGATTCCACAGATGATTAAGTTACCACAGCATACATGCAAAAGGTGAAGCTGCTAGTGCCAGCAAAGAAGCTGTCAAACTCTTGTTAATTGAATTCGGTAAAATCATCTTAGAAAGGAATTGTTTGCCTAAACAAAATTTAGTATGGATGAGACTGGATCATACTGGAAAAAAATGCCAGAATGGACCTACATTCATAAAGAGGCCAAGCAATGCCTGGATTTAAGTCAATTAAAGAAAGAGTGACCTTATTATTAGGTGGAAATGTTCCTAGATTCAAGCTGAAGCCATTTATGATTTATAAAGCAGATAATCCACATGCGATCGAGAACATAACCAAGCACATATTGCCCATTTATTACTCATCCAGTCAGAGGGCTTAGATGATGCTAGCCCTCTTGGAAGACTGGTTTTTAAATTGATTCATACCCCAGGTAAAGGACTATTATATAAAAAAGGGAATTCCTTGTAAGATTCTCTTGCTCCTTGACAGAGCACTTGGACATTCCCTGCATCTAGACAATCTCTTCTCAGTTATAAAGGTATTTTACTCCAAAATATCACCCTTATTCTGCAGTCTATGGATGAAGGTGCCATTTCAGTTTTCAGGGCTCACCATTTAGGGCTGACATTTGCAGTTATAGCTGCAATGGAGGATTGTAAGATTAGTTTGTGCAAATTTTAGAAAAGACTACAGTATTCTCCATTGCATCAAAAATGTAACAGCAACATGGGATGGTGTTAGTATAAAATGTGTGCAAGGGATTTGGAAAAAGTGCTTGAAACAGTACAGTTCTCTGCATATGTTAACAGGTTTTAGCAAAAATAAATAGTAAAATTTTGTTGCTAACAAAATCCCTTGATTTACAGGTTGATGCAGGTGATGTGAATGATTTGATAGGCTGCAAAGAGGGAGAACTTTCAAGTGAGGAATTGATTTGAGCTGTAAGAAGAATTAGGAACACAAAGGAATGAGAAGGAGGAAGAACAGAAAAGTAGAGAGATCTGAAAATGTTTAATTATCGTGAAGTCTATGAAGAGAAGAAAAACACTGCTGAGATTGAACGGATTATTTCTCAGAAATTACTCATTCATCGAGTCCAGTTTTCTTGCAATTGCAAAGTCTTATCTTGGGATTTCAAACCTTAAGCCTGGAAACATTTGATGATCCAGGTGATCCTCGGCCATCAACCAACTGTGTAGCCTTAGACTATTTATTCTAAAACTTTAGACTATTTAGATTTTAATAATGCAGAAAAGTTATCAAAGGTTTTACATCTGATGAATTTTGATGTCTTGTACTGTATTATTGTAAAATATGATTTAAATTATATTTCATTTATATTTTACATCATAAGCCAATATTTAATGCATTGAATTTCCACTGAACCTTGAAACATACAATATTAAGCTCAAATCAAGAATCGTAAGATTAAGAAGATTTCATTTGTTTCAGATAATCTCTTGCACATTGAGTACGGTAGACTAAACTCTCAAACACTGTCTTGGTTAGGCCTAGGTTACTCTGATTTTCACATAACTACCTGTTCTTTGGAATTTAGCTATGCTGCTAAGTGAGGAGTGAGTGCAATGCCTTTGAACAAAAATACAAGTTAACTGTTGCACTCTCTGGCAACAGTTGCTTTGATAGCTTCATAGATCTTACATATTTAGTTCTTGTATAGCGCTTTTTATGAACCTGGCACTGTTTTAAATATAGAAAAGTATTCATTGATTCAATATTAACTCATTTGATGGTAATCATTTACTCTAGTTAAGCTAGAGAGTATAGAAGAAAATAATGGATTGTGTGTGTGTGTGTGTGTGTGTGTATATATATATATATATATATTTCTCTTTTTCCTTTTTGTTTGTTTTTGTGTAGGCCTTGTCTTCACTGATTATTAGGGGTTGGGAAGTTTAGTCTTAGGGCTGGCAGCCAATCTGTGTTCTGTGGTAGTTCTGCTTTTAAAGTTTAGAACATGTGGAAGATTGAGTTTTGAGATAAGGGCTTGTACTAAATTGGTTTCTGTGTTATAACTATAAAGCTTCCATTTGCAGGAAAATAAAGCATCTGATGAGTAAATAAGACTTATACCTCTCTCACTTTTCTTTTGTATCATTAGGTAGATTTTCTCTATTACATGGTAAAAGAAGTTTTATGAAACTTTATTAGACATTTTTTATAGTCTACAGTGTCTCTCTCCTTACCCATTCCAGCATGCTTGAAGATGACCTTCAGCTCAGTGACAGTGAGGATAGTGACAGCGAACAAGTAAGTTTTGTATACTGTGTAATATTAGGAGTCCTTTTAAATGAGTCTAACATATCTGAGTTGCTTATCCTAACCTGTTTTTTGTTCTTTTTCTGATCCTGCTTCCACTGTTGTGAATGCCTAGACCCCAGAGAAGCCTCCTTCCTCATCTGCACCTCCAAGGTACTGTGTGTGGATTTCACCCCATCTCTATAAAACATTTGTATTTTTCCACCAAATGAGAAAAGTGAAGCTTTATTTAGTACTTTCAGGTTTTTTCATGGGAAAGGAGATGGAGAATCACACTTAAAGGAAAAGTAAAACACTAGTTGCTGTTGAGTGGTTTCTGACACATGGAGAGGCCGTGTATCTCACAGTAGAACTGTGCCTGTGGTTTTCGTTGGCTGTGGCCTTTCAGAAGTAGATTGTCAGACCTTTCTTCTAAGGTACCTGTATGTAGGTGGTTTCAAACCATCAGTCTTTCAATTTATATAACCGAGTGCTTAACCCTTTGTACTATACAAGGACGCCAGTTAAAGGAACTCTACCACAACACACACCAAAAGAAAAAAAAAAAAACACCCACTGCCATCAATTTGATTCAAACTCATAGTGACCCTAAAAGACAGTAGAACCTGCCCCCTGAGGTTTCCATGGCTATAAATCTTTATGGAAACAGACTGCCTGATCTTTGTCCTTCAGGGAGCAGCTGGTAGATTCAAACCACCAATGGTTGGTTAGCAGCCAAATACTTTAACCAGTGCACCACCACAGTTCCTAATTAAAGGCAAAACCAAAACCAATCCACTACCATCAAGCTGATTCCAACTTGTAGTAACCTCAGTAGGGTTTCCAAGGCTGTAAATCTTTACTGATGCAAACTGCCTCATCTTTCTCCCACAGAGTGGCTTGTGGGTTCAAACTGCTAACCTTTCTTTTAGCAGCCCCAATGCCTTAACCAGTGTACCACCAGAACTCCTTTAGTTAGAAGAAAGTACCTATTTTAATACACTGGAACTTAAATTAGCCACAGAGGGGTTGTTAACTCTGTAAAAGAGTAAGAGTCCCTCCACTTACCTATCTGTATCTGCAGTGATTAATACTGTGGCATTTAAAATTTTTGAGAATTTAAAAATACATATAAAATGCTTTCCATTAGTATTGTATAGCCAATATTTTAAAAACTGAACTGAAGATCCCATTGTTTTCATGAAGGTGAAAGATTTGGTATGATCTCAAAAATTGTAAAGCTGAATTATTTCTACAATTTGGTTTCCATACTGCCCCTTTCCTTAGTTCTGTGAATTTTCAAATTATTTCAGCTGGTTTTAAAAATGACCTGCAGTACATTTTAGTGTGATAGAAAAGCACACTATGTAACTTTGTGAACAACTAGCCATGTTTCAGAAAATGTGAATGCTTTAATATATGAAAGTGGGAACTATTTGAACTAGTTGATTTATATGTAGCTTCTGTTCAAATAGACCTCATTTCCAAAAATTTGATGAGTTAGTATACAAAATACCTGCCCTGGTGGCATAATGCCTAAGGCATTTGACTGCTAACCAGAAGCCTGGCAGTTCAAACCCACCAGCCACCCCTTGGAAGGAAGACTGGATAGTCTACTTTCGCAGAGATACTGCTACAGAAACCCAAGGAGGGGTCACTATGAGTAGGATCCAACTCAATGGCAGTGAGTTTTTTATTAGCTATTTTACTTCCTTGAGATAGAACTATCCATTCAGAGAGAATATCAGCCTATCTTAAATCTTTATAAGCCTGACTATCATACAAGTTATGTTATAGTTTATGTGGAAGAAAGCCATGCAATTACGTGGCTAATCCATAAGGTTTGCTTGCTTATTTATATTCCACTTTGTTCAGTAATTTCTGGTAGGTGATAATGACTCAGAAAGTATGACAAAATAGCCTAACTTAAAAGTGGGAGAAAATTAAAACAAAATGTGTATGAATTGTTGAATGGAAAACCAATTTACTCTATAAACTTTTACCCAAAACACAATTTTTAAAAAGTGGGAGAAAAGAAAAAAATTAAAAAAAAAAAAAAAAAGGTATGATGGGATAATTGAGAGGCATGGGTAACATTGAAAGATTATACCATTTTGACCATCTGACCATCCCTGGCTTAACCTGTGAACTGCCAGTGTGAAAAGAGTCACAAACTTGACATGGCATTTTATATGAGTACCCAGTAGTATAGTTAGTTATTTATTTTTAATTTTTAATTTATTAAAGATTACTTCAATTGATGACTTTATTATTTTGAAACATATTTTAAATAGATGCGGAAACTTTTGAGATTATAGTTAACTATTAACTATTAGCTTTAACTATTAACCATCTAGAGCAAAGTTTTAAGATTGTATGTGTTCTCTCACCAAGGTATAGTTATTGCCCTATTCCTCAAACTTGCAGCACTTAATCTTTACTTTATCTGATATTTGGGATGTCCTAATATTTTTCATTCATAACAACGGGCCCATTTTATTAATTATACCAAAGAAGTGCAGATGGTATGCATTTGAGCTCACCTTCCAAAGGGACACCATTTGTATTTAGTAATCTTTGGCTACTGTGACAAGAAATATACCACAAATGGGATGGCCTTAACAAGCAGAAGTTTATTCTCTTACAGTTTTGGAGGCTTTAAGTCCAAGTTTAAAGTGCCAGGCTCTAGGGGCTGTGTGAAAGCCCCTCAACCTTGGAGTCCAGCTCTGCCTCTGCTCCCGGCCCACTAGAGGCATTTCTTCACTCAGACAGCTGCTGGCTGCTGAGGCTGAGAAAAGCCTCAAGGTTGACAAGTAAAAAGGCACAGTCCCGATATTACCAAACCACATGGCAGGCCATTAACTTAAGTCCATTGTAAGTCCCAAGGTTGGCAGGGCATAGCAGGCTGCTGAGCAACAACATGGCTACATGCAGGGTCCAAGCATGCCATAGCCTAGAGACCATTCTCAAAGCTTTTCCTTATATAGAGGAAGCAGACCACATACCCAAAGGCAGCTACTCAGCTGCTTGTGGTAGATCCCACCATGGAGTTGATTGCCAGTCTCATCATGGGGAATAGCTACAACTAGCTACCCAGCCACTCAACCACTCAACCAGGCCCAGCCAAGTTGACAAACCAACTGAACTACCAAAGCTACTATATAGTTAGTTCTCATATAGGAAATACAGAAAGAATTGAACATACCTGGCTTTTCTTTTATAAATTAATTTTCTTTTGGTTATGTAAAGCAGGGATTAACTTTTTCTTACAAGGACCAGATAGTAAATATTTTAGGCTTTACTGGCCTGTGGTCTCTGTTGCCTCAACTGTTACGGCACAAAAGCAGATACAGACAATGCATAAAAGAGAAAAAAATGGGTGTGGATGTGTTCCAATAAAAGTTTATTTAGAAATTCAGGCAGCCACCTCAGGCCATGATTTATGAGCCTTTGGTATAAAGGACCTCAGTATATCATTTATATTTAGTATGACTTGAAATGTTCTTCAGGAGTGAAATTTCACAGGCTTCTCTTTTATAGTTATTTGGTAAACTTTTAAGGGTTTTTGTCTGCTTCTTAAGTGGGACCTTCTCTCAGCTAAGGGATATGGTAGTCTCAAGTAATTTTGAGGCCCCTGCTTTCGAGTAGCAGGAAAATGGTCAGAGAGTAGACAGGGAAGAATTCCACCTTGTATGGTGTCTTCTAATTTTATCTTTTGGTTGCCTTACAGTGCTCCACAGTCGCTTCCAGAACCAGTGGCATCAGCACATTCCAGTAGTGCAGAGTCAGAGAGCACCAGTGACTCAGACAGCTCCTCAGACTCGGAGAGTGAGAGCAGTTCAAGTGACAGTGAAGAGAATGAGCCCCTAAATACTCCGGCTCCTGAGGTACTGGGTCCCCCTTGAAGCAGCAGCCTAAGATGGCAGCCTTCTCTCTTTTGGGCATAGAGTCTGCTGTGGTTCAGAACTGACCACGAGATTGAAAAGTTCTGTCCCATGGGAAATGCTTTGCTGCTTCTACACTGTGTAGATCCATCTGTTTCTGTTTACTTATTTCTTACCAAATATTTATCAGTGGAGGTTTAGAGGAGATGGCTTCTCTCTCCTGTTTAAAATGATATTTTTTTTTCTCTGATGTTGCTAAAGTTGTTTGGAAGAACAACTTGTTAGTAATATATGCACACCATTTTCTTTTCCCTTCTTTTGAAAAAGAAAACTTGTTTTCAGTAGGCTGATGTTTAATATTAATGAGAATTCTTTTTGAAATTTTAGGAATGTATGAATTAAGGAAATCAAATGGAGGCAGCCTTATTTAGCAAAGGGCAGGAACATGAACTAGAAATAAAGTCATCAGGGGTTCTATTTTTGAATTACTAAAAGCCATGCATTAAATTGATGGCAAAGTGATTTTGCCAGGGCTGTGTTCTTGATCCTTCTGCCCCATGTAAAGCAGGAATAATTGTGCTTGCCTGTCAGCCACCCTTGGGAGATATTAAAAAGATGAACAAACAGATGAGACTGAAAATTTCAAGCACTAAATTTATCTAGAGGATTTATGCTATTTACTCAATTGTTGAGCACATGAAATTGATAGTAAGAACTAACAGGGTTGTCAGATGCCCTCAAAACTTGGCGTAGCAATGTAAAATTGTGCTGGGCAAGGATACTTAGTGAGAACGGGTTATTCTGGAAGGCATCTTAATTTTTGATGAACTAGACCACCCTTTAAAGCAAAATTTATTCTACTTATTTGAGATATGGAATGCCAGGAAATGAGGCTTTTTAATTAAGAAAGCATTAGTGTTTCTTGTGTTAGTTTGTATTAGTTTTCTGTATTAGTCTCTGCTATTTAGAAAGCAAAACAGTTCTACTAGAGCATTAATAGAATACATCTACAGGTCACGTTGTAAGACTTAAGAGCCTTTATAAGGTTTGAGAGCAAAGAAGTCTGAGAAAATAAGTGGGTGTCATTTTTTGTTAGATATGAATCTATGTCGGGCACAAAATAAATGCTTCATATTTTTGGAGTGAATGACCATGGATCAACATTAACTGTACTTGATGTCCCTTTCAAATTTTTGAAACATAGTGTACTGTATCAGTTCCTGAGGTTCTTTGTTGCCTGGTGTGATACTAAAATTTTAATCTGATAAACCTTGTAGACTTCTTAAATGTAAGATAAATGTTTCCATTCTGCTTTATTTTTTTTTAATAGTCTTACTAATAAAAGGCTTTTTTTTTGTACCTGTGTATTTATGTAAAAATCCAGGTTGGTACAGTTAGTATATTATGGACTAAGGCTCATCTTCCTCAGGAATATTTTCTCTTTGTTTAGATTTTAAACCTGTAACTTCTCCCCAATAAGTATTTAAGTGCTCCCCCCCCCCAAAAAAAAAAGCTCTGGTGGCATAGTGGATAAGGCACTTGATTGCTAACTGTAAGGTCAGCAGTTCAAACCCACCAGCTGCTCTGCAGAAGGAAGACTGGGCAATCTACTTCTGTAAAGATATACAGCATCAGAAACCCAATGGGAGTTGCTATGAGGTGGAAACAACTCAATGGCAGTGAGTTTGGTTTTTGGTCCCCCATTTAAAATAAGTATCTACATTACTGTAAATCTCCTAGTTTAATTTTCTCACTCTTTTCTATAGTTCTTCTGTTTTTTAATACTGAGAAATTTGTTTGTATGGCTTCATTTTCAAGTCATCTCATTTGATGAAATAGTGTCAGTAAGCTTACAAGACTAAAGCAATTTATGCCTGCCAGTGTATGGATTCTATTTCAGTATCTGCTTTAGAGTGTGAACCAATAACATAAATCTGAGCTTTACAAAATGCAGTCTCCAGGTCCAACTTATGGGCAACTCGCAGTTGCTCTTCAGTGTTATGCAAATTTACCCTTGCTTTGAGACTGTTGAAACCAGCTTCTACTCCAGCATATTCTTCATCACCTTCACTTGCTGCACATGCAGCTTGTAAAGCATTGAAAAGGTTTTGAACCTTTTCTTGCCCTAAAGAAAGGCTAAATAAGAACTTTATGCACTTGTTCTGACCTACAAATTTGACTTACAGAGAGTTAGGCACTGATTTTGTTCCTAAACTTGTATGTGGGAAATACTTCCTAAGTGAAAATAAGAAACCATTCTATTCTCGTTATTCAGAGTTCTGCTCCATTTCTTAATCTCTTCATTGTCCATACTTTTGATAGTAAACTACCTGGCACTAATTGTCTATTGGGCTCTTGATGTTTTATCATAAATTATTCATCCATCAACCCTACAAAGCTGATAGCTGCCTTTATCCTTATAAAGTACCAGAACTAGAATTCAAACCCTTAACCATTGAGCTCTGAAGCCTGTATTTTTTCTTTCCCTTGTACACCATGCTACTTCTCTCCTTCCTCCTTTTCTTTCCTACTACTGTGATAATGTGAGCTATTGTATTGTTGTTGTTGTTGTTATGTGCCGTCGAGTCGGACCCAACTCATACCGACCCCTCCTTGGGTTTCCTAGGCAGTATCACTATGGAAATAGATTGCCCCATCTTCCTTCTGAGGAGTGGCTGGTGGGTTTGAACTGCCAGCCTTCTGGTTAGCAGTCAAGTGCCTTTGCCACTATGCTACCAGAGCTCATTTGAGCTATTGTATAGCTCAAAACTTTTTATTCAGTACTATGACTCATTTATAGGAGCTCTGGTAGCATAGTGGCTAAAGCACTTGACTGACTGCTAACCAGAAGGCTGGCGGTTCAACCCACCAGCCACTCCTCGGAAGGAAGGTTGGGCAATCCTACTTCCATAGTGATACTGCCTCGGAAACCCAAGGAGGGGTCGCTATGAGTCGGGGCCGACTCGACGGCACATAACAACAACAACAACAACATGACTCATTTTAAAATACATTAATTTTTGCCAATTTGAAAGATTAGAGAAGTAAAGGGACATATGAGCAAACATTTATTAAAACCCTTAATAAAAATTACTCATTTACTTTTCTGTCTCTCTCAATTTACAGTATTTGGTTTGCACCCACACTAGGAAAGCAGAAGAGGCGTGGGGAAAGGCAGAGGAAGAAATAAAAGTGTAAACTTTGATCCTATCCAAAATGTAATACACTTAATATTTATCTTAAAGTCTGTTTTTAATCAATCCCTTACATAAGAATTTGATCTCAACACCCAAATAATATCTAAACTTAAAGGAATATTGGCCATTTTACAACTATATACTACTTGGGTGCAAAAAAGGGGTTACTCCCTACCTCTTTCTCTTTCTGAGCACATCAGTTCAATTTTGCCCTGTAATTAGGCCATGTTCCTCCTTTCTGGACATTTTTAGGACCACAGTGGAAGAAAATATGTTTTATTTCTGTAACCAGGACATTCCTTTAGGGACTAGTAAATGTATCTTATGCTGCCCTGTTTCAGGCAGACAAAAAGCAGATGTTATTTATACTAGGAATGGCTGGCTTTTTTTGGTTCATGCCTAAATCCTCTTCTGAAGCTCATGCCAGTGGTTGGGATGCGTTTGTGAACAGAGCATGTGAACGAGATAGAGCCACACCTTTCCTGAGGAAGGGTCAGAGGTTCAGCTTCCTGACATGATTGGCAAGTCATATCTCTTACAGCCTTCCCCAGTCAGTTAACTGCTGGTGTTACCACATCCTCAAGTCTTTGCAGAAAATGTTTGCCAAGTAGGTGTGGTGTGCTAATCCTTTTTCTACACTTAACAATCATCATGTTTTGTTAGACTGTTAAGTACAGTTTTAGACTACATGAGACAAAAATGCCTGGCACCTGATAGTTTTTTTTTCCTTCTCTCTTCTTCTCTCCTTCCCTATATCCCTTGAAATTCAAATGAGAGCATGGTTATAGATAGAATTGAGCTTTTAAAAGAAGTATGTTATAATAAACAGCAGTGTGGGATAAGCAAAAAAATGAATGATGCAGTATGGTCCTACCTAGTTTCTTTAAGTTCCTCCTACTTACGCTTTTGAAATCACACTAAGCCCGAACGAAGTACCTGGCTGATCATTTTATTACCTAGTCTTACCCTGGCCAAAAAGACTTTTACATCATATACATGTCATACATGTATTAAATTTGTATGTTTTTATAGAATTTTTAGACTCTAGAGTTGAATATATTCCACTTGGGAAAATTGTAAACATTCTGACCCCTAAAAACTGTCCACATACTGTTGTGGTCTCCCTATCCATAATCCAATCAGTTAAAATCCCATGTAGAGTTATCTTTCAATACCTTCCTAGTTCATTATGCATATCATTTTGTTAACTCATTCAAACCACCTTTCAGAAAGGATTTTATGGAAAACATGCAGCATGTATTACTCTTAAAAATATAGAACCATTACTCCATTAGTTGCTAATATTTTTCTATGTGATATAAAATTTATAGGTACAGTATTATACCCATAGGAATGCTCAAATAAACATTCACTGTTTGTAAAACACTATAGTAGAACTTGGAGATAGGAAGGTCTGTCATTCTGTCAATAAGATTTCAAACCTAGTTGGAGAGCTGTGGTTAGATACATCTATAGTTTATCAGCAACAAAAGTTTTAATAGCAGTTCAGATAACAGTGGCAGCCAGGAACTGTTGTTTATTTGCCAAAACAGTTGTGCAGGTAATCAGTGTAATCCCACTGCTTTTTTGGTTCTGTGGAGCCTCCCTAAGTTTGTTAGAAACATCGGTGCTATTTCACACCAGGTTGCCTTTAATAAGAAAATGTGTTTGGTAATTGTCCAGACTCCAAATGGGACTAGTACTTGGCTAATGTGACCTCACTTCACTATTCCTGTTAAGGTATAAAATTTGAAAATAGGCATATATTTGTGATATACTGGTAAACTTGTCACATGTAAATATTCATAACATTTTTAAGTAAATAAAAGAAGGGAAATCAAGTTCTTTTCAATAGAAAAATATGTTGAAAAGAAGTGTAAAGCAAGAAACTCATGAATTATCGTTTATTCATTAGCCTTCTGAAAATTGTTTATACAAGGATTCTTTTTGATTCATATTTCCCTTGTTGTTATGTTGTTATTTGCCGTCGAGTCGGCCCCGACTCATAGCGACCCCTCCTTGGGTTTCCGAGGCAGTATCACTACGGAAGTAGGATTGCCCAACCTTCCTTCCGAGGAGTGGCTGGTGGGTTTGAACCGCCAGCCTTCTGGTGAGCAGTCAAGTGCCTTAGCCACTATGCTACCAGAGCTCCCTCATATTTCCCTAGTATTCTCTAATAAGATAGTTAAATGTGCCAAAATATGTCATGTTTGTTTAAAGTATGCTTTAATTATCATCAGGACAAAATATTTACGTTGCGGAAATTTCTCGGCATTTGTCAACGTCCTATTATTAGTATCTTCTACAACCAAATTCCCATATCACAAAAAATTTTAAAACTCTTTTAAGAGTTAATTATCATAAATTTTGACCTAAATTTACCAATAACCAGTTGCCAGCAAGTTAGTTCTGACCATAGTGACCCCATGTGTTTCAGTGTAGAACTGTGCTTCATAAGAGTTTTAATAGCTGATTTTTTGAAAATACATCACCAGGCCTTTTTTCTAAGGCACTTCTAAACCAAAAAACCAAACTCACTGCTGTCGAGTTGATCCTGACTCATAGCGACCCTTGCTTGGGTTTCTGAGGCTGTATCTCTACAGAAGTAGATTGCCCAGTTTTCCTTTCGAGGAAACCTCGAACCTTTTTGTTAACTATTTGCACCACAAAAGGACTTCTGACCTATAATTGTTGTTGTTGTTATGTGCCGCTGAGTCAGACCCAACTCATAGCAACCTCTCCTTGGGTTTCCAAGGCAGTATCACTATGGAAGTAGATTGCCCAACCTTCCTTCCGAGGAATGGCTGGTGGATTTGAACCACTAGCCTTCTGGTTAGTAGTCAAGTGCCTTAGGCACTACACTACCAGAGCTCCTAACCTATAATTACAAGAGGGTAGATATAGGACTTTTATTCTTAAGTTTAAAATGATTGCCTCTCCCTTGGACAGTTCTGTACAATTGAATGGCTACACACAAAATAATAGTTAACTTCATTGATTAACACTTTGCTCTTTTTCCCTTATTTTCAGCCTGAGCCTCCTACAACAAATAAATGGCAACTAGACAACTGGCTGACAAAAGTCAGCCAACCAGCTGTGCCTCTGGAGGGCCTTGGGAATATTGAGCCCCCACATCAGCATCAGGACAGTAAGGGCAAGGGTAGCAGTGACAGCAGCACCACTACTAGCCACGAGCATTCTGAATCCAAAGATCCTGCCGCCAAGAGCTCCAGCAAAGCTCCCCGGGTCCCTTCTGAAGTCCCCAACCCAGGCAAGAGAAGCTGTCAGAAGTCGCCTGCACAACAGGAGCCCCCACAGAGGCAAACTGTTGGAACCAAACAACCCAAAAATCCTGTCAAGCCCTCTTCCCAGGTGGACTTGCGGGCCAGCTTACAGGTAGAAAATGAGCCAGGACTTCTTCCTTATGGCTCCAAAGATCAGACTTCCAAAGACAAGCCCAAAGTGAAGACGAAAGGAAGGCCCCGTACTGGAGAAAACAAAGAGTCCAAGCCAGTGGTGCCCACCCCCAGTGAAAGGAAGAAGCACAAGAGCATCCCCCCTGCCTCCTCCAAGGCACTCTCAGGCCCTGAACCCTCAAAGGACAGTGTGGAGGACAGGAGCCCTGAGCACTTTGCTCTTGTCCCCCTGACTCAAAGCCAGGGCCCACCCCACAGTGGACGTGGCAGCAGGACTAGTGGCTGCCGACAAGCGGTGGTCGTCCAGGAGGACCGCCGGAAAGACAAACTCCCATTGCCTTTGAGAGACACTAAGTTGCTCTCACCGCTCAGGGACACTCCTCCCCCACAAAGCTTGATGGTGAAGATAACCCTAGACCTTCTCTCACGGATACCCCAGCCACCTGGGAAGGGGCGCCGCCAAAAGAAACCAGAAGATAAACAGACTCCCACAGGCAAAAAACCTGATTCTGAGAAGAAAAACTCAGACAATTCAAGCAAATTGGCCAAAAAGAGGAAGGTAAATGTGTGGCTTCCCCAGAAAGTATGTAATGTACCTACTGCTGGTTTGGGATTGTCCCTTTAACTGGCCTTTGATTTAAAGCCAGCTCTGAGTTGTCTCAGAAGAGGTTTGAGATCTTCCTTTAAATTTTATGTATCCTTTGCTTTCTGTACCAGAGTTACGCCTTCAGTCTGGACTTTAATCAGTGCTACCAATTCTGTGGTCAGAGGCATGAACAAATGCCAAGCTTTTTCATCATTCTTTACCAGTTTGAACAAAAGATGAGGCAGCTATTAAAAGCAATAGCTTCTTTTAGATAATGTAGCATTTGGGGATAAAATTTCATTTATTCTGATAACATTAGTATTTACCATTTGACTGATTGGGCCTTGTCCTGTAAATTAAGACCTCACATAAATTGAAATGTTAATTCATATTCTAAACTACTGAAAAAGCTGCTGTATACTAAATTGTACTCCTTTAGTATGATCTTTTTAATGCCAATATTACATACATATTTTAACTGATGGCCATCTAACACTTCATTATTTTGAAATCACCAGATTCATCATTTGTGATCTCCATTAATGACTTTTATTAATAAGCAGATCATTATAAAAAAATGTTTATGGCTATTAAAGGAATGCTTAGGATATCTTGTCCGGTAATATAGGCTGGAATGGTGTAAAGTACTAAAAAATCTTTTTATTGTATTTGTTGAAGTTTAAGGAATGGTATATTTAAAACTTTTAAAATCTTTACATTATTTAAGACATTCTATTACTTGGAGATACTGCTACTGGGGACAGTCTCCTTAACGTCCTTTACTGTGGACCATTGAGCTTTTGATCTGGTGTTTGCTTTCTGATGATGAAGGAAGGATTGGTGAGTTTTTCCCAAGTGGCATTCCCAAGCAAACCTGTCTAAGATTGAGAGAGAAAAATACAAGGGCCAACTTTTTTCTACTGAGAAGAAATAAAAATTTTAATACTCTTACAACTACACAAAAGCACATCATACTCAGTTGTAGAAAGAACAACTATTGTAAAAAAGATAATGAAAGACTGCTATCATGTCTGTGATTCAGGTGATTAATCTACAAGGTTTAAAAATACAGTGCAAATGAATCAAATCATGTAGTGTAGCTGTTTTCTCCAGAACCGTGCCAAAAGAGGTGGGAAGATGTGTATCATCACCATAATTGCAACAGGCAAGTAGAGTGGCATAGGATCTAAAACCAAATAAAAAGGCCAAACTCAACTGCAGTCAAGTCAGTTCCAACTCACCACAACTCCTTGGGTTTCCATGGCAGTGTCTCTTGAGGGAGTAGATTGCCCAGTCTTCCTTCCAAGTAATGGCTGGTGGGTTAGAACTGCCAACCTTCTGGTTAGTAGTCAAATACCTTAGGCACTGTGCCACCAGAGCTCCTAGTTAGTGCTAATTGGTGGTGCTATTTCAGGTTGAAAAGGGCATATTCGTGTGTGTGTGTGTGTGTGTGTGTTTTAAAGTTACAAAACTTCAGAGGGAAATTGCTAGGAAAAACTACCTGTATCTAATACACTTGAGTAAGCTTTGACTTATTTACCTCCTCCACCTGGGAAATCGTCTGTCACCTGTATTCCATAGTCTTATATCCATTCTCCTGACACACCTTATGCTAACCTGCATTACCTGAAGTGGAGAGGAGCCTCAGCATATAAAATGTTTAATGACTAGGTGGAATTGTTAGAAATTGGAGAATCTCCAAGACAGTCCTAAGACCAGTTCATACCCCAATACAGATCTCGAAGCATTGATTACTGCTCCAGAAAGGGAAACACATAGCTCAAGAAGTGCTCTTCTGGTTCTGTATGAGAGCTGTGCCCTCCATATGCCTTTCCCAGCCCTTGGCCACGCTCCTCTAGGGCAGCTTATTTATCTTTCTGTCTAGAGGTTGAAGAAATAATGATTCTCTCATCTTAATCAAGTGCAGGACTTCTTTAAAGTTTTAGTAGCACATGGGAGATGTGGCTCTTGGAACAGTCTGCCTATCTGATGTGGTAGTGACAGGATCAGGGTCTGAACCAGTATTTCCAAACCCCGGCTACACCTGTGGGAGGGGAAGCATTAGTACTGATGGCAGTTACCCCCTCCCACGAATGGTGTTTACAAAAGATCCTCAGGTAATCCTGATGCCATCAAAGCTGGAGAGCCTTGGAGCAGAGCTTTAGTACAGGGCCCACAACTGGGCAAAAGCTAGTTCTTGGGGAAAAAAGAATTCCTCATGTGTTGATTTTAAGGCATCATGGAGCCTAGGTAACAGGAATTCCCTGCCTGAATTACATCATTAGTTAGAAATTAGTAGAAGCTTTTGGATAAATACAAAAATTATTCTACTATATATATATTTCATGTTCAGAAAATTATGTCATTTTTTTATATTTAACTCTTGGATCCCAGGTGGGAGATACTAAACTTGTTGTGTGATGTTTTATCAGTTTTGACTCCTAGTGATCCTGTAGGACAGAATAGAGCAGCCTTATGGGGTTCTTAGGCAGTAATCTTTACAGGAGCAGATTGCCAGGTCTTTTCTCATGTGGAGTGGCTAGTGGGTTTGAACCACAGAGCTCTTAACCACTGCATCAACACTCCTTCCTTTTTGAACTTACTAACCTCAAAGCCCTGTCAGGCTTTCTACTTTTCTTCATCAACACCCTGGCTTTGTTTGTTCAGGGCCTCTGGCTCTATCCAGCCCTCTGACAAGCACGGTTTCTCCCCTGAGAGTCTGGTTTGTGGGCCTGGGTTCCCTGTGCCACAAGGCTTGGCATTCCTCCTTTTAAGTTTGTGTGTTTTCCCAAAAATTTGAATAGTGAAGATTTGTTCAGCGCCATCTTCATTTTAAGTGTGACCATTAGGACAAACTCTGAGGTTGTGATCAGAACATTTGAAGAATGTGCCCAGTCTTCACAGTAGTGGAATTAAATGTTTTATTCAATGTCCCTTTAGAGTCTCTCACTCTCCCAGCACACAGTTTGCAGAAATTTCAGAGAATTTCCAGATCCTGAAAGACAGTTTAGACTTAAAACTGTGAGAAGATGATCACAAAGAGTTAATGGTGAATAACAATTGTGATGAAGCTGGTGGATGTGGAGTCCATATAGAAATGTACCCATGTTTTTTCACTTCTAGAAAGCGTGGCTAGAGAACAGTTTATGAGAAAAATAGAGAAAATTGTGAAGATAAATAGACATCAATTAACATTGTACTCCTTACATAAACTTTAGAATTTTTTCAACCTGATAAGTATTTGAAAATGCCAACCTATTTCTTCTACATAAATTTTAAACCAAGCTTAAGTTTTCTACATTGGAAGACAAACTGAACATGAGCAGTACAGTATTAAGCACAAGCAAGCCAGTGCAATTAGGAATATTTTTAAAACATGCCTGACATGCAGAGAGCTCCATTTGTGAGCCAGGCATTGTTCTAGGCACTTAGAGATAATATCCCATTTAATTCACTGAGCTTCTAGCTTGCCTTTTAAATAAATTGATAAAATGTCTCAGCGTTCATTAGACAGATTACTGCACTAGGAACATCCATTTGAGGTCTTTTTTTTCTTCTGTCTAAATACTTGCTTCAGTGACCAAGAAGTTTAGACATTTTTGGACACAAATTTCAGTTCTGTCATACCTTTGTGTTTTGAGGAGTGGAGAAGGGAAGTTGTAGAATGTGGTAGGTGGGAAAATGTGCATTCTTACTGCCTGAGGATGAGTCATTCAGTTCTTCTGTCCCACAAAGATCCTACTGCCTTTTCTTGGGTTGTTTCTGCAGATCAGTGTCTCTCAGATATTATCTTTCAAAAGCAAGGATTTGAAAAGTCACCCCTTATAATTTTCTAAAGCCACTTATATCTAATTTTTTCATGTCTGTTAGTTAACCTAAGCAGAGCCTAATAAATGTGGTAGCTAACGCTGTTTTAGACCATGTAAATACCTATATGTTCCCTCATCAAAATGATGAAGAAAAAGCAGATTGATTTTCCTTTTCTGTAACTCTTAACGCTAGTGAATCTGTCTTCTCAGTGAGTTCCTGTCCCCCCCACCCCCGTTGTTGGCTCTAACTAGGACTTTGTGTCCCCAGTGTCTTTCTTATTGAACTTCTTTGAGAGGCAAATCCCAAAATGCTGCTTCTCCAGTCTTCCTATGCTCCAAGAGATAGAAAACTTTCTTGCTGTCCTTTGGGGGAAGATAATAGTCATAAAGTGTGAGTGCTGAAAAACATTAGAGGTTGCTTGTTCAATGCTGCCTTTATAGATGCGAATCCGGAAAGGCTTTAACATTCCTCAGCTGTTTAGTAAAAGCAGATCTTGAGCTCAGGTATCCTGATTCTTCCCACTCCAGTGATCTTTCTATTTCACACATACTTTCACACATACATTTCTGTTTCACACACATGTTTGTGTGTTCAAGTGTATATTCTGTGTTCTTCAGAGAGGCACAAGATCAGAGATCAAGATCAGTATAGTGACTCTGGCAGTTACAGCATTATCCCTGGCTCAATTCCTCCTTTGCCCCCACTCCTGCCACCAAGTACCCTCTTATACTCCTCCGTTTCAGTTTCCATTTCACGTGCCCCACCCACCCATCACAGGCAAGCTCCTGGAAGACTATAATTTTCCACCTGTTAGAAACTCTCTGGACCAAAATAAGTGTCCATTCTAAAACAACCTTCATTTTCCCCTCTACCTACAAGTGCCTAGATATGATGAGCCATTTGCTGGGAGAGGCACTAGGCTGCCCTGGAGGCATTCTCTTACAGAAACTGGCTTGACTTTGCACAGTCCCTTCTCTCTTCCTTTTATGGTTTTCATTCTTGCTCTTTTGCTGGACTCTGTCTGTGGAGCAACATTTGGCAGATAATCCATGGCTGCCTGACTCAACAGGTAAAGAAAAGCAAACTGTCAGTCAGGACCAGATCACCAGCCACCAGCTTCCTTTTGCTCTAGGTGCAGGCACCACCAAGACACTTACCAATAGGAAAAGAGAACTTCTGGAAACCAGACCTTAGACCAGAATCCCTGAATTAGGAGGGATGTATGGATAAGCCACAGGGCTGGAGAGACTTTTCTTCCTTCTGAGGAGAAGAGTGCATAGCTCTCAAACTGATTTTCAGTGTATTCTTGACCCAGAAAAATCTAAAGAATGCCATGCCTCCTCTTTTCCAAGCAGTTCATGTTCTTGGAATTCAAGTCGTACATTCTGCCACCCAGTGTTGCACTGCACCCTCTTTAGTGGCTCTTTTCTCAATCCATCCACTTAAAGTTTTAGTGCTATGTTGCTTCCAGGGACTTCAGCTGTGTCCCTCAGCTGCTAAACTTAATTTCCATGCTAATTGGCAAATACTTAGTGAGTGCCTGCTCTGGGCGGCAACTATTCCAGACAGAAGATGACAAGATTCCAAGTGTCCAGTGTCCAAAAAAAAAAAAATACTCTCCTGAAGCCCACAGGCTTGAACTAAACAGTCTAGGCAAGCAAAATTGACAGGAGAATATTTTTCCCTTATTTATTTTAATGGCTTACTTTCCACTAGCTTCTAGAATTCTAAGTTGATAAATACCAGTATAAAGTACATTATTGCAATAAGTGCCAATACAGTTGTTAAATACAACATTGAATTTAGTGCTTAGTTATTTATTATTTGTTGTTCCCTTGGGTTACTGATGGGTTACCAGAGTTATAACCAGTTTGTGAAGACTGACAGACTATGAATCTAACTTTCATGTGCGGTTTATTAAGTCTGCCACTTTGGTTTATAGTCAAATGTACCATATCCTAAACATTAAGAAAATATACAAACAAAAACTAACTCTCCTTCCACCTCCGGGGTTTGGTATTTTCTTTGGGAAATAACCTTGTGGGTGGTTTATGCTTAGTTTTGCCTTGGGTACTTCTCCAGTGTGTCATAACTGCCTGGAAGTACCTACCATTTATATATTACTTACTAACCACCTCATGTACAAGTTAATATCCATCTGGATATTTCAGCAATTTTTGAGACTTTTCCCAAAGACAAATTTCCCATCTTCTTGCAGTGCTTTCCTCCAGCAGAGCTCATTAGGGCAAGTCGTGCAGAGAGAACTCAGTGAACCTCTTGGTGGCAAGGTACCTTGGGTGCAGTAGATGCTCACTGGCAATAATAGGGGTCTGTTTTAACCCGGTCATTTCCAATGTATTCTTTTTCTCTCCACCAATCTGTCACATCATTGCATGAGATATTTGTTTGCAAAGACCCATCACAAAGCCCCAGCAGGCTTCTCCTGACATGTGCCAGTCTTCTTCACTTTTCCTGAATCATGCTCCTGTGTTCTGCTGCTGGCATGTGAGAAACAGCTATAGAAACTTTGCTGTTGCTTTCAGCTGTGGGTTTATGACATGCTTATTGACATCACATGTTATCTCCCTATTAGAGCCCTTAAGATAAGATTTTCCCCAGTCTTCTGTAACAAGTGGCTATATTTCTGTGTAAATGATTTGTTTTTATCTTACCTGTGTATTTTATACTTCCTTCTTTGCATTGTCTACTTAGAAGTTCAGTTTGCAGATTAGTAAAGTATGTAGAATAGCGTTGTCTAGTAACAACAGAAAGCAAGCCACATATATCATTTTAAATTTTTCATTCACCACATTAAAAAAATCTAACAAAATGCAACACAACAAACACACTGCCATCAAGCTGGATCTGACTCATAGTGACCCTTCCTTGGGTTTCCGAGGTGGTATCACTATGGAAGTAGATTGTCCAATCTTTCTTCCGAGGAGTGGCTGATGGGTGTGAACCACCAACCTTTTGGTTAGCAGTCAAATGCCTTAGGTACTACACCACCAGAGCTCCTAAAGGGGAGACAATAAAAGAAAACCAGTGAATGTAATTTTATTAATAATTTAATTTCATCATAATATATCTAAAATATTATCATTTATATAATGAATATTAAAAAATATTACGTATCTTTTTCTCCCATGGAAGTCCCTGGGTGGTTCACATGGTTAACACACTTGGCTGCTAACCTGCAGGTTGATGGTTCAAGAACCCCCCAGAAGTATCTTGAAGAAAAACCTGGTGAGCTACTTCTGAAAAATCAGCCATTGAAAACCCTATGGAACACCTTTCTACTCCGAAACACATAGGATCACCATGAGTTGGAATCAGTGGTTCTTGTTCTTTGCATGAAGTCATTGAAATCACTTTTCAATTTGAACTAGCCATTTTCAGATGCTCACTGGACACAATGGGCCATGGCTCCTGAACTGGAGTGTGTAGGACAATGCGGAATCAAAGGCCTCTAATACTATGAACTTTCCCTTGGCTTTAATTTATCTTTTCTATCCATAGTTTTCACTTCTGCTTAATGTTCTCACTTGGCACACATACCATGAGATTAAAAACAGGTGTCTTTATAAGCTACCTTGAATGACTCCATTTTTGAAACAAGACAGTGCATAAATGATTAAAGTGTTTTTCCAAAGAAGCCTATGAAAGACTGGGTAGAAGTGCACACTCAGGTACATTTGTTTACAGAGAAGGAAAGGAATGTTTATCGATTTCCCCTCCTTTTGAGAAGGGCCAGGTTACTTACTGGTGTCTGGGCAGAGCTTAAGCCTACAATACCTTAATTTATTCATTTTTCTTGGACAAATTCAGGGAAAAGAGAGACAGTGGTGAAAACAGGGACCTTCCACAACCAGTTAATGTGAATAATGTTCCTTTTAGACTTTTAGAGAGGATTTCAGGTTTTTTAGGGATTGTCCTAGATTGACTGGTGGTGTCCCAGATTTCTAATGCAATGAACTGACAGTTGGAGGAGTTTAGTTCTAAATGCACATCAGAATTAATTAAAGGACTCCCACCAATGACTTCACTGTCATTTGCTAGAGAATATGTGGGTTCTTTCTTCCCATGGTGCCGTTTCTTGCTAGCAGGGGAGGTCAACTGAAGTCCTAAGTCTACATGTTAGACTTATTTCAAAGTTGGGATGCATGATCACAGGTAAAGACAGAAGAACATGAAAAAGAATTTAGAATTGTAAAGAATTCTTTGGTCTTCTAATGACTACATATATTTATTTAGCACTTTGGTTGGTAGAGATGGGTACTCTTGAGGTACTTGTAAGTACCTCCTGTAGAGTTAGTATTCCCTTCCTCTTTTTATTCCCCACCCCTTAATCATATTTATCAATTTTTTAAAAATAAAAACATGTCTCTATATATGTAAAGACAAAAAAAATATTTTTTGAAAAGGAAATTATATCAGTGAAGGACAGAAAAAAAAGTTAGCCAGAATCCTAAAGTAACTATTTTTATCTAATCATGGACAAATCCACAAGTTTTATGTCTTTCTAATTCTGTCTGTGGGCTATACAGAGGATTTTGTAGCTGATTTCTTTTTCAGTTATATAAATTATTTTTTGTTACAAAGAATGCCTTAAATAGTCCATGCTTAATTGTATGCAAATAATAAAAGAATACATGTAAGAGGATATAGTTCTTTTGAAAGAAGGGGTAAAACTCATAGTATCACCGCATGCATAATTTGTTGTGCATATGCATATTTCTCTTATATTTAGGAAAATCCCAATGATGATAGATGTCTACTTATTCTTCTTCATGTCAGCTATTACTTTAGACATCTTCTTCATGGGTGTGAAGAATTCTCTTTCCTTTTGCAAACGTACTATGAGTACATATGCTGTGTACATATAAACAGACTTAAGAAGTCTTAAAAATCCTACTTATTTTCATTGCCTTTGCTGTACTTCTTTTTCTGTTTCACTTGTACAGTTTGTAATTATTTTGTTTGTTATACTACGATCATAGAGTGAAGCAGAAAGAGACCATGATAACAAGAAAATCAGACTGGAGAAAGAAACCGTATCACAGTCATCATCTTCATCTTCATCGTCCCATAAAGAGTCTACTAAAACAAAGTGAGTATAGAGATTTCATAGTATAGAAATTTTCCTAACAGCTGAATTTAGTTTTTTTCCAAAGGAATTTGTTCATCTATATCACATCTAATAAGGAAAATGCTATTATTTATTATCCTGCTTTGCAGATAAGGAAACAGGCACAGAAAGATAAAATGGCTTGCCCAAGGTCGCATAATTCTTACTGAGGGGAGCCAGCATTTGGATTCCAGGAGCTTGGCTTTAGTGTCCTGTCTTTCAGTAAGAGTCTAGGAGCTCTGGTGGTGGTGTACTTAAAGCATTGGGCTGCTAACCAAAAGGTCAGTAGTTCAAACCCACTAGCTGCTCCATGGGAAAAAGATGATTCAGTCTGCTCTATAAAGATTTACAGCCCTGGAAATCTTGTTGGAGCAGTTCTACTCTGTCCTATAGAGTCCCTACGAGTCAGAATCTATTTGATGGCAGTTGGTTTGATTTTTGGTTGAAAATCTGCGGGTCTACTCACTTGACTGTGGCAATGATGTTACAAGAAGGATGGCAGATGAGAGGTGGTAATGCCAAGAAGTTGTGAAAATAAAAACTAGCTGTTATTTACTCTCTGATTGATTTGAGAAATCACTTTGCAGAGTGACTTGACAGAAACAGACACACAGTGTTTCCATGTAGGAGCTGACACAGATTGAGAGAGAGAAAACAAAAGAGTCGGAAGTAAAGATGACAGCTGGGCTTGCCTTATTTCAGGGAAAGGTTCACATTGGGGAGCAGTTAAAGCTAGACCTACTCAAGGACATTTAGGACCGTTGGAAGACTCTGCAAACACATCAAAAAAATCATGCAACCACAATCTGATGGGTTACTAAGAAATAAAGCATCAAAAAGTCCCTGAAATTTCACCTCTTAACAAACAGATTTTATGCTCTGTGATTTCTCAGCCTGTTGCACCAGCAGCCATCTGTCCTTATAACTAAACAAGTAAGTTGCATGATAGCTATTCTGCTTCAGCTTACTTTTGTGTGCTGTTTACCTCCAGAACACTCAAGCCCTCCTCTGAGCCCTCAAAGAAGGAAATGCTTCCCCCACCACCTGTGTCGTCATCATCCTCATCCTCCCAGAAGCTAGCCAAGCCTGCACACAAGAGGCCAAAGCGGGAAGCAGACACCTGTGGCCAGGACCCTCCCAAAAGTGCCAGTAGTACCAAGAGCAACCAGAAAGACTCTTCCATTTCCAAGCACAGAAAAGTAGAAGGAAGGGGGTCTGGAAGCTCTACAGAACACAAAGTAAGTCGGGGAACTGGGAACTTTGTAATATGTAATGTATTGGTGTGTCTTTGCTTTAAATTCCCAAATCAGTTTACAAGTTCCTAACGATGGTACTTCATAGCTATGCATCACTTTTAATAAGGCAGTAATGAGCTGCTTGTATTTAAAATTCTACCTATTTGAGGGAGAATATAAGAGTTAATAATAGTACATAAAATTTTAGGTGTCAATTTATTCTAAAAGGTAATGGCTTGGAGGGAAAAAACGTAATAGGTTTTTGTACTAACTTTCTGTCAGGTGTTCTGTTTTTTAAACTTTTTATTGTGATTTGAATGAAAGTTTACAAAGCAAATTTGTTTTCCATTCACCAGTTCATACACAATTCATTTCATGACATTGCAATCCCTGAAACATAACAGCTCTCTTCCCAATTCTTCCCTGTGGTTACCTTTTACCTGTGTCCTCTTGTGTATGCATTCCTGCCTTCTGAGTTTTCTCCCTGTGCAAATACTGTCCTTCTGATCTCCCATGGTTAATTGGTGTAAGGAATACACCTCCCTGGTGCACCTAGTAGGCCTATTGTTTGGCTGAAGGTTAAACCACAGCAACGCGTTCGCTTCCAGGCCTAAAGGGTGACGGGAGCTCTGGTAGCATAATGCCTAAAGCACTTGACTGCTAACCAGAAGGCTGGCGGTTCAAACCCACCAGCCACTCCTCAGAAGGAAGATGGGGCAATCTACTTCCGTAGTGATACTGCCTTGGAAACCCAGGCGGGGGGTCACTATGAGTCAGGTCCGATTCGACGGCACATAACAACAACAACAACAGGGGGCCATAGTCTCGGGGATTTCACCAGTCTCTGACCTAGTCTTTTTATGATTTTGAGTTTTTTTCCCCTCTCATTCTGTCCTCACCCACTCCACTTCCATTGAGTTGATTCTGACTGATAACGACCCTATAGGGCAGAGTAGAACTGCCCTATAGAGTTTCCAAGGCTATATAAATCTTTATGGAAGCAGACTGCCTCATCTTTTTCCTGCAGAGCAGCTGGTGGGTTTGAACTGCCAACCTTTTGGTTAGCAGCCCAGTGTTTTAACCACAGCCACACAGAGCTCCCTTTACTGTATCTGGGATCTCTAATTTTGATCCCTTTCCAAGTGGTTGGCAGTGGTACCATTTAGTTCTTCTGACCTTGGGATCTTATAGGCTGAGGTTCCTATGGTTGATTAGTCCCTTGGACTAATTATTCCTATGCATCTTTGTCTTCGCTCTTCTTTGCTCGAATATAGAGTCCAATGGTAGCATCTTAGACAGCTGCTTGCAACCTTTTAAGACCTCAGGGGCAACTCACTAAAGTAGGATGTAGAACAGTGTTCTTGTGCACTCTTTTATGCTAATTGAGCTTGATGTCACGAGCCCATGGACCCAGCACTCACTCTCCTAAGGTTTTTGGTTGTGACTAAGAAGTAATCATAACTTTACCCCTTGTTAGCTCTGTTACATATATGGACATTTTTATAACACATACAAGTAATTATATAGAAATATCACCTGCCATACCTAGATGTGGTAATGAATATATTCTCATTGACCTATCCATACTTGATTTTCTTGCCTGTCTACCTGTGTGTTCACTTGTAAATTAACGTTTGTAAATTATGTAAATACTATTACATACACAATAGAGCATTATCAATAATAATTCTATTGTGTGTGTAATAGTATTTACCTCTGTTATCTGTACCTCTTGTGCACCTGTCCTTGTCTTCCTTTTCCTTAGTGAGACTGTGCTGGTCACTTGCTTTTGATATATTGCCTTTCCCTTCACCCAAATCAATACATATCTCTTACCAAGACAAGAATTTTCCCTCCCCTTCCCTCCTATCCCTGGTAACCAACAGTTTGTTTCTGTGTACAAACCTTTTCTTAACTTTTTATAATAGTGGTCTCATACAATATTTGTCCTTCTCTGAGTGACTCCTTTCACTCAGTATAATGTCCTCCAAGTTAATCCACATTATGAGACGTTTTGTGGATTCTTCATTATTCTTTAGTGTTGCATAGTATTCCATTGTGTGTATATACCACAGTTTGGTTATCCATTCATTTGTTGATGGGAATTTAGGTTGTTTCCATCTCTTTCGTATTGTGAATACTGTGATGAACATGGGTGTACATATATCTATTCATGTCCTGGATCTCGCCTCTTTAGGTATATTTCTAGTAGTGGGATTTCTGGATCAAATGTTACTCTGTTTCTAACTTTGAAAGGAAGTGCCATGCCATTTTCCACAGTGTTTGCACCCTTTTACAGTCCTGCTAGCAGTGTATGTGAGAGTTCCAGTCTTTCCACATCCTCACATTTGTTCTTTTCTATCTTGTTGAACTTTGCTATTAGTGTTGGGGTGAGATGGACTCTCATTATTGTTTTGATTTGCATCTCTCTAATGGCTTATGATCACAAGCATTTTTTCATGTATTTGTTTGCCACTTGAATATCTTTTTTGGTGAACTATTCATGTCCTCTGCCCATTTTTTAACTGGATTGTTTGTCTTTTTGATGTTGAGGTATTGAAGTTTTCTATAAATTTTAGAGGTAAGTCCCTTGTCAGATGCACTGTTACAAAATATATTTCCCTCACTCTGTAAGTTCTTTTTTTTACTCTTTTTGAGAAGTATTTGGATGCACATAAGAACTTAATTTTTAGAAAGTGCCAGTCATCTAGTTTATCTTCTGTTTTTTGTACATTTTGAGTTATGCCCTATAGTTTATGTATGCCATAAATTAGTGTCCCTAAATTTGCCCTATTTTATCTTTGATGAACTTCATAGCTTTGGGTTTTATGTTGAGGTCTTTAATCCATGTAGAATTTGTTTTTGTGTGTGGTATGAGGTATGGATCTTGTTTTATTTTTCTGCAAATGAATATCCAGTTTTACCAGCACCATTTGTTAAAGAGACTATCGATTCCCCATTGAATGGATTTCAGCCTTTTGTCAAAGATCGGCTGCCCATAAGTGAATGGATCTATTTTTGGATTTTCAAGTTTGTTCTCCTGGTCTTACATGTCTGCCAGTGTACCAATACCAGGCTGTTTTGACCACCATGACTGTATAGTAGATTTTGAGATCAGGGAATGTGAGACTTCCTGCTTTGTTTTTGTTCTTCAGTAGTGCTTTACTTTTCCAACTGCTCTTTCTTTTCCATATAAAATTAATGTTAGTTTTTCCGTGTCCTTAAAGAATGTTGATAGAATCTGGATCAGGATTGCATTGCATCTATAGATTGCTTTATATAGTATGACATTTTCACAGTGTTCAGTGTTCCTATCCATGAGCATTGTATTGTATGTTTTACAATTTATATAGGTCCCTTATAATTTCTTAAAGTTGTATTTTGTAGTTTTCTTTGTGGGAAACAAAGAAGAATTACCGATAGTTGGAAGATTTGGCCTTGGTCCTAGAAATGACACTGGAGATTGCATGATAGAATTTTGCAAGACCAATGATTTACTTATTGCAAATACCTTTTTTCAACAACACAAATGGCGGTTATACATGTGGACTTCACCAGATGGAGTACACAGTAATCAGATTGACTACATCTGTGGCAAGAGGCAATGGAAAAGCTCAATATCTTCTGTCAAAACAAGGCCAGGAGCTGATTGTGGAACAGACCATCAACTGCTCATATGCAAGTTCAACGTGAAATTGAAAACAATTAAAATAAGTCCACGAGAGCCAAAATATGACCTTGAATATATCCCTCCTGAATTTAGAGACCATCTAAAGAATAGATTTGATGCATTGAACACCAGTGACAGAAAACCAGAAGAATTTTGGGATGACATCAAGCACATCATCCATGAAGAAAGCAAAAGGTCGTTAAAAAGACAGGAAAGGAAGAAAAGACTAAAATGGTTGTCAGAAGAGAATCTGAAACTTGCCCTTGAATAAAGAGTGGCTAAAGCAAATGGAAGAAATGACAAGATGAAAGAGCTGAGCAGAAGATTTCAAAGAGCAGCTGGAGAATACAAAGTCAATTAATATAATGAAATGTCCAAAAACCTGGAGTTAGAAAACCAAAAGGGAAGAATATGCTCAGCATTTCTCAAGCTGAAAGAACTGAAGAAAAAAATTAAGCCTCAAGTTGCAATATTGAAAGATTTCATGGGCAAAATATTGAATGATGCAAGAAACATCCAAAGAAGATGGAAGGAATACACAGAGTCACTGTACTAGAAAGAACTGGTTGATGTTCATTCATTACAGGAGGTGACATAGGATCAAGAACCAATGGTACTGAAGGAAGAAGTCGAAGCTGCACTGAAAGAAGTGGCAAAAAACAAGGCTCCAGGAATTGACGGAATACCCATTGAGATGTTTCAATAAACAGATGCCATGTTGGAGGCACTCACTCAGCTATGCCAAGAGATTTGGAAGACAGCTACCTGGCCAACTGACTGGAAAAGATCCATATTTGTACTCATTCCAAAGAAAGATGATCCCACAGAATGTGGAAATTATCAAACAGTATCATTAATATCACATACAAAGTAAAATATTACTGAAGATAATTCAAAAATGGTTGCAGTAGTACATTGACAGAGAACTCCCAGAAATGCAAGCTGGATTCAGAAGAGATTGTAGAATGAGGGATATCACTGCTGATGTCAGATGGATCTTGTTTCAAAAGAGTACCAGAAAGGTATTTACTTGTGTTTTATTGACTATACAAAAGCATTCAATTTGTTTGCCATTATGGATCATAACAAATTGTGGACAACATTGAGAAGAATGAGAACTCCAGAACACTTAATTGTACTCATGAGGAACCTGTACTTAGACCAGGAGGCTGTTGTTTGAAGAGAACAAGGGAACACTAAATGGTTTAAAATCAAGAAGGAAGTGTGTCAAGGTTGTGTCCTTTCACCATACTTACTCAGTTTGTATACTGAGCTAATTCAAGAAGTCACACTATATGAAGAAGAACATGGCATCAGGATTAGAAAAAGAATA